GGTGTCGGGGCAGGGAGAAGCCGGCGGTCTCCGCTCAACAAGGCTGCCACGGCGCCCTCCACGCTGCGCGTTTAAGGCTTTTATTCCCCAAGGTCACCAGCTGCAAGTTCCCTGGCTGTGCCAGGAGCAGCCAGGCCCCCGGTGTCGGTTCCCAGCCCAGGCAGCTCGTCTGCGGCGCTGCTAGAGGAGCTGTACAATAACTTAGAAGGTGGAGGGTTAGAAGTACGTGTTGCCACAGGGAGTCACGGTGCAAGTGCTGTGTGTGTTTGAGCAGAAGTGTCTTCCCTTGATATTTCCTCCCCCCACCCCTACCCAAAATGGAAGAAAATCATCCTTATCTCCAGGTAGCAGCAAGTACTCGGGAAGCAGCATGCGGGACACAGCAGCAGAGGAGGGAGGAAGGCAGAGAAGAAATCTGGACTTTCCTGGTGAGTACTCGGTTGAATGGGATCTAAGAAAGCAAAAGGAGAACATAGGAATGGCTGCACTGGGGCAGACCAAACGTGAAAACACGAGGGTGCACCTCACCCCTGGCCTACCCTCGGCCAGCCAGCAGCAGCAGAGGGCGAAGGCACCGCTGCAAGAACCGCCGGGGCCGCGCTCCGGCTCGCTGTCCGTAAGAAATATTTAGTCTGTGGGCTCAGAGTAGGGGCCACGCATCTGGTGGTTCCCTTGGTGGGCTGAACTGGTGGTGACCACGCACAGCTGCTGCTGCCTTCATCTTCGGCAGCAGTTCATCAGCCCTCCTCGTGTCCAATAGTGCTTGTGTGCAGGGCAAGGGGGAAGAAGCCAAATGTGCTCGTAGGCCAAAGAAAAAGCCCAACATAAACTCCTGCCTTGGACGCAGCGCTGTAAATAAGGAATATTATTCTCTTGAATGGGGCAGGTGTCCTCTGGAAACTGGGAAGGCAGGCGTAGGCAAGGTGACTTACATCAAGCGGCCAGAACAGCACAGGCTGGTCAGTGGCTTCCTGGCAAAGGCTGATCCAGTGTAATGCCTTGTGTCTGGTAGATCTCCTTCAGAACCAGCAGAACGGTGTCTTCCGACTCCCTGGAGCAGGAGGACATGGGAATTAGAGGGGGACACTTCTGTCCCCTCTGTCAGGACGTCTGTGATGGTTATGGGGTAGATGTGGTGCTCAGCAAACGTATGCAGTATTAGGGGAGGAGAACTACACGGGTCTCCTTCCTGTGTCCCTGCCCACCCACTATGGCAGGAGAATATCGTGGTTACTCAGTTAAGGCTTTTCTTATTGCATTGGCTTTAAAAATGATGACATTCTGCTTACGTCAGACGTGAATTTGAAGTTCTGAGGGTTATGCAGAAGCTTACCAATAGCAGAGATGCCCTTGTAGTGCAAATAAATACTCGTTAAAGCTCTCTATTGGCTTCTCCTGCAGCACGTAGTCTATGCGATTCCCTCCGTTCAGCCTCCCCACGTTAATGAGGGAGGGCTCTTCCTTCACTGCTGGGGGGGGCTCGTCTGGCTTCGTGTCTGCAGGAACAAAGAGCAATGTGGTTCAGCCCCGGGGCACCAGCAGCCACGAAAACCCAACAGCATAACCATGCCACCGGGATGGGCACCTCGCTGGCGTGGCTG